ATGAGAAATTTTTAGAAAACCAAGCTCAACAGCTATCTGTCAGTCAAAGAATTTAAAATTCATGTCAAGCTCATCTTAGGAACTCACATTGTCATAGATACACACTTTGCAAACGTGAGCAGACTTGCCTTTTCAAAACCAAGAAAATACATGGTGATGTTCAAAAGACCTTAATTGAGGTGCATGTGGTACTGCTTAGACCAGTAGGGACTTACTCTGTTGTCCAGGATCATGAGATACAGTCAGATGTTTTAGATTTCATTAATGAAAACATAAAACAATCTTGCTATAAAATTTATGAGGCTGACTTCATCTCTCACCATGCCAAAACTTTGCTATATGCTGTTAATTTTAAGCTACACACTAAAGCACATCACAACTTTACAGTGTTTTAAATAGATGGCTGACATATAGCCTTTGACAATATTTAGCACTTTATAGCAATACATTAGTGCTAACTTTAGAAACTATAGCATAATGAAACTTTACAGCCAATTAAGTTGATGAGTCACTGTCAGCCTCTTAAATTCCTCTTTAAGACGAATAAAAAAAGCAAATATAGGATGCAAGGAGCACACTGCAGCTCTTGTAAAATCTTTAAGTGTCGTCATGAAGTTGAAATGTTAGGGAATAAAAAATATATTGTCTAAATGGCCCGGAAATAAATAAAATTATTTCTTTTAAAATTTAGAAATGGTGATAATGTTCAGTCTTTTAGTTTGTCACCATGTACTTACATAGATTGATGGAGTCTTACAATGTTCATTGACTCCCTTGACAATGGTCGCTAGACAGCCTTCTGAACTTTTATTAAAAAAAAGAAGCGCAAAGTTGGACATATTTAATCTCCACCCATACTACTCATTTATAACTACTTAAGGATAAATAGTTTGACAAGTGAAAACTTAAATATGTCCCTTTCATAATATGCATGGTATTTGAGAATTAATTATAAATCCATTATGTATGAAGTTGAAATTGTTTTAGGAAAAATCAAGCAAGAATATGCTAATAAATTAGGGTATCTCCATTAAAATTTATCAGGAAACTATTGTATATAACTTTATCCCAATTATTGAATGTTGAGAAATATCTTTATAAATTGGTAGTGAGGTTGCAGTAGCATTAAAATAAAATCATAATATGTTAAATCCAGAACTCTTTGGAATAGAGTAAATTTAAAAATATAAAACATTCGTATACAACTATCTCTTACATGTATTGCATGGATTGTGAAAATTTTCCAAATTCTTTAATGTTCTCACAGCCATTTCTTTCTTTGAATCAATTTGGCTTGGGCATTTTTGCCATTTCTATGCCTGCTGTTCATACTCCACCCAGTGGTAATAGAGATAAAGAAATTCTCTTTTCTTTAAAGTACACAAAAGAAAATAAATCAGAAAAACAATATTCACAGAAGTGTGGTGTGTGGTGTGGTGTGTGTGTGTGTAGCAGAGGGATTTACAGAGCAGAATTACAAAAAACATAACTTGGAAATTTAATGTTACAGACTTAATGTGTCCCTTCCAAATTTATATGTTGAAATTCTACCCCCTAATATGATGGTATCAGAATGTGGGGCCTTTGGGAGGTAATTAAGATTAGATGAAGTTTTGAAGATAGAGCCCTCATAAATGGGATTAGTACCCTTAAAAGAAGTCACCAGAGGGATGCCTGGTGGCTCAGTTCGTTGAGCCATACTCTTGATTTCAGCTCAGGGTCATGATCTCAGGGTCGTGAGATTGAGCCCTGTGTCAGGCTGAGCATGGAGCCTGCTTAAGATTCTCTCTCCCCATCTCTTTCTGCCCCTCCCCCACTTACTTGCTCACATGCACATGCACTTTCTCTCTCTCTCTCAAAAAAAAAAAGTCAACAGAAGTCTGTTCTCTTCCATGTAAGGGTATAATAAGAAAATGGAAAATGGCTGCCTGCAACCCAGAAGACACCCTTCACCGGCTGTTACCCTGAGTCTGAACTTCCAGCCTCAAGAATTATGAGAAGTAAATTCTGTTGTTTATAAGCCACCTGGTCTTTGGTATTGTTATTGCAGCTTGTACTAAGGCAGTTAGATGTCTGTATTTGCAAACTACAGATTAGTCATGTCCCCACATTGGGAGATGCTGATTTGGTAAATCTGGAGTGACCCTAAGGAATCTGCACATAAGAAGATAATCAAAAAGTGAACAACTGCTCTGGATGCATATCTTCATTTCCAGTTATTAAATCAGTGATGCAAAATAAATGAAACTGGGATCTTCTTATAGACATAAGGACCTACCCTCACAGTAGTTTTTTCCATCTTGTATCATTACGTTTCTGTGTCATTTTGCCTCTTTTTTTTCGAAAGCAACCATGCTGGTCTACATAGGACTATCTAGGGTTTGGTCCTGTATCCTGAGACCAACCTCAATTCTGGACTAACCAGAGCGGCTGGTCACCAGATAAGATCATTAAAGAAACAACTGCATTTTTTTGGTTCCTGTGACCATTCTTCAATATTTATTTATGAATTGTCTACTTTGTGTTTAAAACTACAGGAGAGAAATTTTTAGCAGAAGCTGAAAGGGCTGTTTTCATAGGTCACTTAATGACATTCTGGACATAGCAGTACCCAGGAGACAAAGTGCCACACAGAGATAGGGAGAAGATAGTGCTTCCATACCCACACGGATCTTAGTTTAGATCATACAGCTAATGCAGGTTGAAGGAATCAATATACCTTTTGGCACCTTGTACGTGCTCTTTGTGAGAACTGATCTTTCCTCACTGCTTCCAAACTTATATAACCCTCAATTGGAGGTTTTAGGGAAATGAAGTAATTCCCTATAATGATAGCCTGGTTTTAGATCTATTGAGATTGACATAGAAACAGACTACATAGAAATATGATAGGCAATTGGAAATGTGGGCTAGCAGTTAGCTGACAGGAAAGTCCTAGAAAACTAATTTATCAGACTGCTAGAGTCTATTATGAATTAAATTGATTACTATAAGTTGATCTAATGTTTTGGACTCTAAAACCAACCTTTTTGAATTCAAATATATATGTCTAGACCATAGAAATAGTGATAGTTAAGGTGTTGAAAATGAATGGATTATGAGGTTGGACAGAAAAAGGGGACTCAATCTTGGGGAATGGAAAATTGAGTCATCAAAAAAATCTGAACAGACTTGTCTAAAAAGGAGGAACAGAATTCAGCATTATGACAGACTGCAGAGAATAGGGAACCAACCAACAGCATCTAAAGGATCAGCATGTAACAAGTGATTAAGACCAGAAGAAAAGATGTTCAGTGATTAGATGGATAGAATGAAGGAATTGACTGTCACATTTATCTACAAGAAAATCAGTGGTTTTATCAGACTATAAAAAGTCAAATAGAGGGGCGCTTGGGTGGCTCAGTTGGTTAAGCATCTAGCTCTTGATTTCAGCTCAGGTCATGATCTCACGGTTCATGGTTTGTAAGTTCGAACCCTACGTGGAGCCCCACATCAGGCTGTATGCTGACAGCATGGAACCTGGTTGGGATTCTCAATCTCTCTCTCTCTCTCTCTCTCTCTCTCTCTCTGCCCCTCCCCTGCTCATGCTCTTTCTCTCTCACTCTATTTCAAAATAAATAAATAACCATAAAAAGATAAAGAAAAACCCAAATATAAAACAGCCATTTTAATTCAGCTGACTAATTCGTCTTAAGAAAAATATTTGTTGAACTTAAAGACTACTTATTTTTTAAAGGTTACCAAGTGACCTCCATGGGAAAGTTTCAAGTGTTTGCTTTAGGTCTCTCCAAGCGTTAGCAGATGTATAAAGTTTGGTAGGGTATGGAAATGCTGGGAGATCCTTTTTGGTTCTGACCTCAATATCATTTCTGTAATTTTTTCTTGGGCACATTCTTGCCATTCACCATACTTTTCAGGGGAATGAATGAATATTGGGCTCCAAGTCTGAGACCTGGGAAGGCTTCCATATCTGCCCTCTGTGCTCAAAGTGAACTTCTCCTCCTCCATGAGTCTCAGTTTCCTCATCTTCAAAATGAGAATGTTGGATTACAACTAATTATACATTATCTGATTTTAATATCAAATTTACATTCCATTTTAAATTGTAAGCTTTTATTAAATATTAAATGATAAACACCATGCTAAAGGCAATCCCCAAAGCCAATTCTCAGCCTTAAATATGCCCAAACACAGGTACAATTATTCTGAATGACAATTAATTTGAGAGCTCTACATCCTTTTAACAGAAAATTAAAATAGGAAATTGATGAGGATTTAATGTACAGCATGGTCACTATGGTTAGCAATACTGTGTTGTATACTTGAAAGTTCCTATGAAGGAAAGAAAAGGAAAGGAAAAAACAAGGGAATAAAAGGTTAGTCTATTAGGTAGTAGATATGTTAACTAACCTTATTCTAGTAATCATTTCTTCTTGAACTGAGTTCAAGAAAAAAAGTTAAGTTGAATGATTCTTCTAAAGATAAGTGGGTTACTTAAGGAAATACTGTCATTTAATATATACAAAAAGGGCGCCCAAGTAAATGAAGCACATTCAAAACAAGAATAGATATGGGAGGAGGGAAAAAAGACCTTACTTTGAGACACTAATTAAATGATGATCCTAGAATTGAAGTAGATGAAAAGGACAAAGTCTGCACATTTTACTTAAAAGATCAAGTCACAACCAGAATGTTATGTAATTATTAGAATGTACAATGTAATAGGACTCAATAAGGTGGAAATAAAGATAATGAAACTATATGTTTTTATTTAGTTAATATCTTTTTGTTGCTAATGGAATAGTTTCTGTTCTTTCCAAATAAAAAATTCAATACCCAGTTTAAAAGCCTGACTCAGTAAGTATAGGATTAAAATAATTGGGAGTAAAATCAAATAGTTGTGTCTCATTAAGTGTGCCTTATATGTGGAAATCTTAGCCCTAATGCCATATTTTAGTGGATCTAACACCAATTGATGGTTTTTTTTAAAATTTTTGCAGGGCTGGAGAGAATTGCGAGGGATTCATCTTATGAACAGGAAGGAAAGGTCCAATTTGTAATTGATGCAGTATATTCCATGGCTTATGCCCTGCACAACATGCACAAAGATCTCTGCCCTGGATACATTGGTCTCTGCCCACGAATGAGTACAGTGGACGGGAAAGAGCTACTTGGCTACATTCGGGCTGTCAATTTCAATGGTAAGTTACAACCTTTTTTTTTTGTCATTAAATACTTTAGAAGTGACAGAATCTGTCCCCTCCCCCCACTAAATATAGAAGACACACAGAGTGGGAAGCACAGGATTAGAAGCAGTTCCCCTTTTAATCAGAAGTGTGAGTTTTTCCACCTGCTTTTAAATCTCAAACATATTTTCTGTGCTCCTGAAAGAAACATTAATCTGCTCCTGAAAGAAGCAGAAGTTAAAAATAAGCCTCTATCAATCAAAATATTCTACTTAAATATCACTATTTCAGAAATAACTTAGGAGACTCATTTGGAACCATTGACAACAGATTAGATTTCTTTTAAAATGTTTTGTTTGTATCATTATTAGAGAAGGAATTGTAGATATTTTGTTTGGAAACTGATTTTAAGCTTTTTAAACAGTAAGTTGACCTGAGGAAAGTAGATGATTTGGAGTGGCTATACGTTTACATTCTAAAAGTGCCATGTTAAGTTTCTGCATTTTCTCTTTCCTTGTATCACTTTCAATGATTTGGTCAATTTAAAGCAATGAGCTGCATTGTGTAAGATAGAACCACATACAACGCAGGGTAGATGGGATTTGCCTCCTGCTGAAGCAGAAATGCTGCTTTCTGTAAGTGTCACAGAAACTGATACAGAATATGCTGGACCCATAGTATTCGGCTAAGAATAGCCAAATGCCTGTCTGAAGTGATGGAATTATTGAATGCTGCTGCTCTTTCATGAAAGTTGTAATGGTTGCTGCCCATGATTTTGACCATTATTTTCAAATAAAATGTTAGAATGCTCTGAGCTGTCTAATTCTTTCTGTTTGGCTGTAATCCACACAATGGACATGCCTCTGAGCCATGCATGGCGCTGCACTGTCCATCATAATACACTCCAGTGACCTCAGCTGCCAGCCTTTCTCAAAAAAGCACAAGGTCATCTTCAATTTAGAATTCAAGTGGAAACTTCTTCTTTTGCTTTGTGCAGGCAACATGAGGCAAAATTTGGTTTACATTCAACACAGAGTATCCTCGTTTTCAGCAGAATTTTTGTGAGACATTACATAACCATCCTTTTGTTATGAATATAAATATTAAGGGAATTTGAAAATAATTTTCTTGCAATTATAAAACTGAGCAAAGGAGGGGTATTATAATGCAAGGTTATTTATCCTTACATGAGGTTGGGAACACTCCATTTATCCATGTAGTTAGGAGGTGTGAAGAGGAACGCAAATGAATGTTTTCCTCAATAACTGAAACTCACCTCCAGACAATGGGAAAATCTTTAAAGAAATACCAGATTAAAGTATTTCAAAGGTAAATTACCAGCTTCTCTCTTACCTTAATCATAGATAAAAGCCAAACCCTTCCTTGATGACTTCTATTATTATACCATACTGTAATATAATGATGCTATTAGAGACTATTAAAAACATCTTAAAGCCTAATGATTATTAAGACAATTTGCCTCTAGACTTCAGTGATTTCTGAGTTCTTCTGTCCACTTTTTAGTCTTTTTCCCCCTTTCACCTTACCACAGTGCTGTTTTTGTGATTGTTTTGGGGGCTGATCTCTTCCATAATTTGCTTCTTTCAACCTACTATGGACAGAGAAGTACATATAAAATTTCATTAATTTAGTCGAGATGTATTCATTGAGCATGTAGACTGTGTTAAGCATTCTGATAGGTGCTAAAGATACACTACTAGTAGTCAAAGCAGATATGAGATTCAGAATTTCTTGGGGGAATTTAGATGTGAATCAGAAAAGCACACAAAGGGATAGTAATATAATCTGTAATGAGGGCTAAAAGTAGAGGTGTGCTGAACTGAGAGTTTGTAATAGGGAAACATCCCTCCCTACTCTAGGGAGTTGGGGACAGGTGAATCTGAAGGAAATGAGTGTCAGAGAGAAGAGTAAGATAGAGCATGAGAGGTCTTATAGGCCATTCTTTTGTTTTTTTTTTTTTTAATTTTCTTTTTAACATTTTTTTTATTTTTGAGACAGAGAGAGACAGAGCATGAACGGGGGAGGGTCAGAGAGAGGGAGACACAGAACCTGAAACGGGCTCCGGGCTCCGAGCTGTCAGCACAGAGCCCGACGTGGGGCTCAAACTCACAGACCGCGAGATCATGACCTGAGCCGAAGTCGGCCACTCAACCGGCTGAGCCACCCAGGCGCCCCTTATAGGCCATTCATGAGATTTGTTCTTCATCTTGAAGCAACAGGAGCCCACCAAAGCATAATAGAATTGTGTCTGATACAAGAGTAAGTATACTCCAGATGTGAGGATCACATAAAATACATGAATTTTAGTGTATGAACTTAAAATAGAATCTCTTTGAGCTCCCTGGAGATTTATTTTGCTAATGGCTTGAAACTTGTCTGTATTCCAATAACTGATGATACAAAGTAAGAGACTTGAGCATACACAGATTATCATGGATTATATAATCCTTCTGAGCTTTAGTACTTTTCAGGGAGTTCAAAATTTTTTTTTTAACATTTATTTATTTATTTTTTTTTTTGAGAGACAGAGACAGACTGTGAGTGGGACAGGGGCAGAGAGAGAGGGAGGCACAGAATCTGAAACAGGCTCCAGGCTCGAGCTGTCAGCACAGAGCCTGATGCAGGGCTCAAACTCACAGCCTGTGAGATCATGACCTGAGCCGAAGTCAGACGCTCAACCAACTGAGCCACCCAGGTGCCCTGGGAGTTCATCAATTTTTAAATTTCATTATTGGCTTATCTGTTAGTGTTCACTAATTATTAATTCCCAGCCTGTTTGTGATAAAAAAGATATACAAGGTGGTTCAAATAGAAGTATACTATCTATCTATCTATCTATCTATCTATCTATCTATCTATCCCCTTTAAGGAGGAAGAAAGAAGTATGGTAACCAGAATACAGGACTACATCAGGTTCTGAGCTTCCAAAGCAGCCAAAATATAAAGAGACATTCAGTGGGATACGTAACTGTCATTATGTGATGGAAACAAGCCTCCCTATTTTTTAAGAGAGAATTAATTCTCTTGGAAACTATTTCTAAATGAAATGTATCATATGGGATTTTAACAGCCTCATAAACAATGTTATTTAACAAAATTTTACTGCAAAAGCAGAAGCTTTCTCTTTGGCTGTTTTGTACTTATACCCACAATCAAAGCCAAGAATGTAATGCTTCTAACACTGAAGGGTATTTTATTAAAAGAGCTTTCAGGAGGAGGGAGATAATCTTTGATCTAGATTTGCAATTCTTTCAAGCTCAGATGATATGGGGATTACCATATTCTATTAAGAATAAATGAAGAGCTTTTCCCTTATAATATGCTTTTCAAACTCTGTCTTCAAAAGAATGCTACTCAGAAGTCTAACATTTCAGCCAGTCAAAATAAGAACCACGGGATTGAAGGAGAAGCCATAATCTTGGACTCTCCACTTCCCCTAGTGCTACTTGCCTGCCCTAGATGTACTTTGAAATGTACCAATAGCTACATGGAGTGCACATCAAATCCACAGACTGAAATATCCTTTTTCTTCACAGGGCTTTCATAGAAACTGAAAGTAGACACCTAGAATGTGTGCTGGGAACTTAGCTAACAACTATTACATAACGCTGACTGAGTGGTTTGTGTTAGTGATGGTCAGTGTTCTCACCTAGTGAGATAGCCAACTCACTTCCCAAAGCCTGGAGGTAGGAGGGGAACCTTGGCCAAACCCCAGGTTCCTTGAGATCAGTTTTGAATATTCTGAAGAGTTGAGAATGTACTTGACTAGACCCAGAACTGCTTACTGTACATGACAACAAAAAATTACTACATAATAAAAGTATTCTTAGCATAGCTATTACCAGTTGTCAAAGAATGAGCTTTGTAAGGCAACTGTCAATTTTGTCTAGTGTAGCCTTCCAGGTTTTCTGTCAGGATCACTGAGCTACAAAATGTACTCTCAAGTTATTTAAAAAACTGACCCATTGGATGGAATTATTTAGTAATACCCCTTTCAATATTGGATAATGTCTACCCTAAAGTGTAATTTCTGAGTAGAAAAAAAAATTGTTGTTAAACTGGTTCTTTCTGGCATTAATGAGATATTAAGGCAAGTTGCTTTTCATGGTTCCTTTTAATTTGAGACTGTAAAACACTGTCATTGGTATGAAGGGAGACTCTTCTTCCAGTTGTAATAGCAGGAGGTGAAGGACCCAGAACAGCTGGATGCTGCACAGACCATTGGTATAAAATTAAAGGGAACTGTTTAAAACTCAGTCGTGCTGAGATTGTAACCTTGTGTGTGGTATGCCTAATTAAGCAATGGTTTAAAGATACTTGGTTTAAAAGGTCATGCTTCTTCCAGTCTATTGTTAACTGAGAACATAACAATCATCTTGGAATTTCGAATGATGAATGATTAGTATTTCAGGCCAGAATGATTCTAAACACAACTAGTTAAGGGTGAAAACCCTTAGTAAAACTATTAAACTACAAAGTACTATTTCCATCAAAGACTTAAACAACAATGGTGGTTTAACTGAATTTAATCACTCAAACTGATATTTTCTCATCAACAGAAAACGTGAACCATATTCTGCATGTGTATTTTAAGTACATTCTGAGTCATAGCATATCTGTAATTACTCATGTGGTCATTACAACTTTTCTCAACCTATCCTCTGTACTCAGGGAGCCAGAGGGAAACAAAGATCTGCCTTTTGGATTACTTTTATTGCTACCACTTGAACAAAACACTGTTTCCATAAATTTTTAAATCCAAAGATTTATCAAAAGAAAAACACAAAATGAAGAGAGGAGTTCAGATTTTTCAGGAACTTAAGCAACGATGTCAATTCCTTCCATCTGGTCTATAGGCAATAAAATATTGATACTTACATCTTGTATAGAATCAGGGATTTTTCTGTTGCCATGAGAACCTTATTTATCATAAAGAAAAAGTGTTTGATAGAATTCCAGTGGTATCTCCTAACCCCTTTTCTCTGTATTTGAGC